TACAAAATGAACAAATCTGAGAGAGGTCCACATGTAGTACCTATATATGTAATATCAAAGCATTTGCACTTGCGGTTTTTAACAAGAAGTCGAAAATATCAGTTTTTACCAAAAATGACAAAAATATTCACCAAAATTAGAGAATTAAAGATATCATTACAAAATGAACAAATCTGAGAGAGGTCCACATGTAGTACCTATATATGTAATATCAAAGCAATTGCACTTGCGGTTTTTAACAAGAAGTCGAAAATATCAGTTTTTACCAAAAATGACAAAAATATTCACCAAAATTAAAGAATTAAAGATATCATTACAAAATTAACAAATCTGAGAGAGGTCCCCATGTAGTACCTAGAGATGTAATATCAAAGCAATTGCACTTGCGGTTTTTAACAAGAAGTCGAAAATATCAGTTTTTACCAAAAATGACAAAAATATTCACCAAAATTAGAGAATTAAAGATATCAACATGAAATGAACAAACCTAAGAGAGGTCTACCCAAGGTACATATACACCAAGTATCAAAGCATTTAGGCTTGTAGTTTTCAAGAAGAAGTCGAAAAAGTAAAACATTGACACGGACGACGGACGACGACGGACAATCACTCATATGATAAGCTCCGCTCAACAAAGTCGACAGCGGAGCTAAAAACAAGCGACCTGACAATCAAAATAGCCTCGCTGTCTTCATTATCATGGAACAAGAATCAGTAAAGTGGCATAAAAGCATTTGGACTTACGGTTTCGGACTAGTTGTCGAAAATAAATTTTTTTACCCAAAATGACAAAAATATTCACTAAAAATCCAAATTTGCATATTTTGACAAGAATTTAACAAATCTGACAAAGGACCACATCAAGTACCTTTGATACGAATATGAATGTAATTGGTCAAGTACTTTTGAAGAAAAAGTCGTTTAAAGGGGACGTGGATGCGGGGCGCCGGAAAGGCCCCATACCAACAGCTCCACTGGGTCATCTGCGATGACAACTGAACTAAAAAGATACTGTGTACAGTTGGGACAGATGTAAACCTTTCCTCCCTGTGAGCAAAATATTTTATTCATAACATTTTTCCAAAAAGATTCCAGATTACCACGCATTGAATGAAACTTGCCTCATACGGGCCTTGTGGAAAGATAGGCCTATGAATTGACAGTTTACCATCAATAACGGCAAAGTAAATCAAGCCTCCTGTTGCTGCCGGTGATGATGATGATGATGTTGATGATGATGATAATGTACTTACACTGATAACTTACCAACATTTGATCCTGTACATTGACTTGTTTTCAGTGGAGCGCATATATTAATATCAAACAGATGACCATGTTCTGTATTGAGAACCTTGTATCCCTCGTCTTTTTTTAAGACATTTAAATCAAACACCAAACCTGCAATCATTAAAAAACCCAAACAACATTAGGCATTGAAGCATTGAACACTGCAGGACGGCCTCTTCTCTACACCAACACATATCGCGCAAGGAGTGCCAAGAATTTGAATGAAACTTTCAACGTTTTGAAGTCAATTGTCAGCCGGCATGCATTTTATGAATATACTAAATCGCTTCAGGGGATTCTTTGGTAAATAATAATAAACGAAACCTAAAAATATTGTAAGAACACACTGGCCCAAAAATTAGGTAAATTTGCAATCAGTTAACGCTGCTAGTGTTTGGTTTGGAAATCATTCTACATGTGTATGCATGATTTTATTGCGTTCAAGGACGCTCTATTTCATGCGAGTTGAATTTTAAAATTACCTGGGAAACTAATTTTATTATCATTATTATGTGTTAGTTTATGCTGATCCAAAGATTGAATTATGTACGACATTAATATTTCACTCAATTGACATTTTTTCACTCAAATATGTGATTAAAAAGCAACTTAAATTGTAAACAAGCAGCCTGTCGGCTGAAATAGCTCCGCTGTTAGCAATGCACATTTCAATTAATAACTGCAGATATCATTAGAAAATGATACATTATGGCAAAAATAATCATCAAATATAGATAATTAAAATTATCACCACGAAATGAACAAATCTGACAGAGGTCCACATGTAGTACCTATATATAAGTAATATCAAAGCAATCAGACTAGCGGTTTTCAACAAGAAGTCGAAAATATCACTTTTTACCAACAATTCGAAAAATATTCATCAAAATTTGAGAATTGAAGATATCATCATGAAATGAACAAATCTGAGAGAGATCCACATGTAGTACCTATACGTATAATATCAAAGCAATTGGACTTGCGGTTTTTAACAAGACATCGAAAATATAACTTGTAACCAAAAATGACAAAAATATTCACCAAAATTGGAGAAATGAAGATATCATCATGAAGTGAACAAATCTAAGAGAGGTCTACCCAAGGTACCGGTACATATACACCAAGTATCAAAGCATTCAGACTTGTAGTTTTTCAAAAAGAAGTCTAAAAAGTAAAACATTGACACGAACAACGATGACGGATGACAACGGACAATCACTCATATGATAAGCTCCGCTCGACAAAGTCGACAGCGGAGCTAAAAAAGTCAAGTCAAGTTTGGGGTATAAACACTAGTGTAAAAGGACGACTGAGCACTGAGACAGCACTTCCTGTGACAACACATTGGTGTCAAAGATTGGGTCAGAGGTCAACCAGATAAGTCAAATGTTAATATTTGGGTGTCAAGTGAAAAAGTTTTCTAATCAGTAGTCCAATGAAAGTACCTGACCTGACCCTTTTGAAGATGATTTCCAAACATCAACTTTTTGAACACCAGAATCCCCCCCCCCCACACCCCCATTTTGGGACAACATTTTGAACAATTTGAACGTCTGAATTTTGAGGCAACATTTTGCAATTTTATATTAATAGGTCTTGATCAAAAAAATGAAAACAATAATGAGGGTTTTAATTTGTGATGGTGACAAATGTTGGTAATAAGTACTTTCCTGTAATTGTTAATTTTGCACCCAGTGGATATAATTTCTAACAAACATAATTTGGCAAAAACAAGTAATTGCAAAACATAGTCCTCAGAAGTTACAACAAGAACAGAAATATGTCACCAAAACTGCATTCGCTAGTCAAAATGGCCACCAGTTGGCTATTTTGTTCAATCTTAATTCAATCACAAAAAACAAAAGTGAATTGCATCAAGGCCTGATAATGTTCAATGTATATAGTTTACAGAGTTTGAACAAAATCCATCCATGCACAACTGAGAATTTCTGGCACAAAAAAAAGGGCACCATTTGGCCATCTCGAATCAGATCATGAAACGAATGGACATGCCTATGTTACCCAAGTTATAACATGAACTTGTTATGTTAGAATGTGATCAGAGCAAGCAGAACACACAAACTCAATAAAAATACTTTAAAACTAAACTGAAATTATACGCTATCTTTAAAACTACAGACCTGACTCTGGATTCTCAACAGTGCAGTCATTCGTTACTACCTCTTGATGGTTCAGTTTACAAGCAGATTTTGTAATCCAGAAAAAGTAATATTCACAGTTTTCAACTGCATAGGAGAATTCAGGAGAGGATTCCTGGAAGAGATGTACAGTAGTCATAGCAACCAAACATACTACTTATAGTCAGAGATGAGACAATTTTCAATCAACAAATGGTGGTCAGTTCTGATTTGGAATAGGTTAAACTTGTGACCTGATTAGCTAGATGGATAAATATGTATGTAGCCAATGAGGTACTAGTTGGTAGCATCTTATAAATCGCTACAGGCAGCCATATTTGTTAGATCATTCTGCATTTAAGTTTATTCTCACAAAAGAAAATCTCAACCAAACAATTACAAGAATTTTCATTTTTTTTATCGGCACATGTTAACGTTTTATAGCTATATCTAATTATTCAAGAAAATGATTGCAGATTTCATGACCACTTAAAACAAGCCATGCATGGCACAATCCCCGTTAGTTATCAAACTTAAAATATATAGTTTTGTTTATAGTAAAATAAACATATCAGAGATATGGATTCAGAAGCTGATGCTTGATTATAATGATTTTTTAACATTAAAATGGTTGACATTCAGTCATCTTGTATCTGATCGTCTATATTGAGAGATATTGCTCTGAAACAGCATTAATTAAAACAATTTGTGTTGATTAAAAGTTTCAATGAACAAACTTCGCATACAATCATCCCTAACCATTTGGGCCTTTAAACATTTTTTCATTTGACTAAATAAGTGTCAAAGGGGGTGGTTACTGGTCACATTACTACATACATACAATTTACATACAATTCACTTTACCTGTAACTTGCATTAGTTTTTGTTTAAAGGTGATCACTAACACAGGTTAAGTATAAGAAACACAAGAAGATTCATGAGTATTCTTTGACTTACAAGTCTGTCCTCTTGACAACTAAAAGTTATAAAGGCACTTTTTTTCTTATCAGGATTGCCAGGACAGGTGTCACCAAGTTCGTAGTGCAGCTGAAGTTGACCATTCACCATAAAGGGCTCCCCGCTTACAGTCCCAAGGCTCTCCCATCTGAAAAAACAAGAGTGAAACTGCTTTTTACAAAGGACACATAATTACAGATTTTACACTAAAATTATATCGATTTAGGTATTGCAAAATAAATGAGCAGCCTCTTGGCTGAGATAGCTCCACTGTTAGCAATGGATATTTCAATTAGAGAATTGAAGATATCACAAAATGAACAAATCTGACAGATGTTCACCTGTAGTACCTATATATATATATATATATATATATAAGCAATCAGACTTACTGTTTTACCAAAAGTGACAAAAATATTCATCAAAATTCGAAAATTAAAGATATCATCACAGAATAAACAAATCTAGGTGAGGTCCACCCAAGTATCAAAGTAATCAGACTTGCAGTTTTAAAGAAGAAGTCGGAAAAGTACAAAGTTGATGCAGACGCTGATGACGGACAATCGCTCGTATGATAAACTGGCACGACAAATTCGACAGCAGAGGTAAAGAACAGACACATACATCATATTACATGTTGCCTAGGTACCACATTTCAATTAAATTGATCAAGGCGTGACCAGGTTTTCAAGAAGAAGTCAAAAAAGTAACAAGCAGCCTCTCGGCTGAGATAGCTCCGCTGTTAGCAATGCACATTTCAGTTAAAGAACTGAAGATATCATTAGAAAATGAACAATATGTATAGTATGTATTGCAATCGGACTTGCTGTTTTCAACAAGAAGTCGAAAATATCACTTTTTACCAAAAATGACATAAATATTCATAAAAATTAGATAATTGAAAATATCATCACGAAATGAACAAATCTGAGAGCGGTCCACATGTAGTACCTATATATGTAATATCAAAGCAATCGGACTTGCGGTTTTTAACAAGAAGTTGAAAATATCACATTTTACCAAAAATGACAAAAATATTCACCAAAATTAGAGAATTGAAGATATCATCATGAAATGAACAAATCTGAGAGAGGTCCACATGTAGTACCTATATATGTAATATCAAAGCAATTGGACTTGCAGTTTTTAACAAGAAGTCGAAAATATCACTTTTTAACAAAAATTACAAAAATATTCACCAAAATTATAGAATTGAAGATATCATAACGAAATGAACAAATCTGAGAGAGGTCCATATGTAGTACCTATATATGTAATATCAAAGCAATTGGACTTGCGGTTTTTAACAAGAAGTCGAAAATATCAGTTTTTACCAAAAATTACAAAAATATTCACCAAAATTAGAAAATTGAAGATATCAATACAAAATGAACAAATCTGAGAGAGATCCACATGTAGTACACCTATATATGTAATATCAAAGCAATTGGACTTGCGGTTTTTAACAAGAAGTCGAAAATATCACTTTTTACTAAAAATGACAAAAATATTCACCAAAATTAGAGAATTGCAGATATGATCATGAAATGAACAAATCTGAGAGAGGTCTACCCAAATTACATATACATCAAGTATCAAAGCATACAGGCTTGTAGTTTTCAAGAAGAAGTCGAAATAGTAAAACATTGACACGGACGACGAGCGACAGACGACAGACGACGACGGACAATCACTCATATGACAAAGTCGACAGCGGAGCTAAAAAGTTTATGCAGGAGACATCAATGTATGACAATGGGCAATCAGTAATATGATTAGCTCTGCTAAATGAAAATTTTTTTTTAAAATGAATTGTCCTAACAGCAGCCAACACCAAGAATGAATATTCCAAAATGGATGTCGTCACTGGCCTCGGTCACTGACTTTGACCAATCACACTGATTTGGAGAGTGAATATTCTTGAACACTTCGCAAATGTAACAGTATTGTTCAGCTTACTTTTTTGTTCCATCGTCGGTTTCATACTCAAGACAAGCAGCTGCGTTGACTGGACAGTTAATATCTTGAAAAGAAACAAGAGTGATAATAATTAAACTGAGATAAATTTCTTAAATTTTGTGTCAATAACAATATACATATACTGTAAAAGGGTTAATTATTCACTGGGTTTTAATTTTGCTTATTTCGTTGACTGGAAAATGCGCTAAATTAAAACCCAGTGAATATGTAAAATATGGCATAGAACACATTATCTAAATGATAAAACCGGGAATTTAAAAACCCACTGAATATGCCTGAAATGCTAAATCAGCGAAATTTAAACCCAGTGAAAATTAGGCATTTTACAGTACTATGCAATGCAAGCATATTATCAATCATTTATATAGCTCCATATATTCAAGCAAACTGTTTATACACACTTAAAAAAGTCAGAGATGGCTGATCCCCCGGCATCTTTATGACAAGCACCACTGGTTGAATGTTTATATCTGTAATGCTGCATCACCATATATGATTTTTGTGTTTGTTTCTTATCTTATTTATCTTTCACATTGTGGAATAACGTTAACGTTAAAAGTCTGATGGTAATAACAATATTCTTAAAGCGGAAGGGTTGCCACCTGCGCACATGTGAGAATTGAGTCCCAAGCGACGATAACAACACACACTAAGAACGCATGGGTGGATGCTTGTTTGTAAACAATGACACGCTATGGCAATCTGATGCATGCACAGGTGACGACTTCCCGGCTTTAAACAAACTAGGTAATCAGTTGTTCTTACAACATCTAGAGCAATCTCAATGACAAAATCTTGGAGGTTTTTATTGTATTTATTTTTCATCTTACCATATTCAGTACATACCTTGTTCTGATTTTAATGACCTACATACATTAATGTAATAGATTTCCTTCTTATATCCTGGTATGGTGGGTATCACTACATAGTTGTGGGTCATTTCAGACAATGGCGTCAAGTCATACTGTTCCCCATCCTGGTCGCGATAACTACATTCTACAATCTTGGACGGAGGGCATGCGTAGCGTGTACGCCAACTGAAAACATACGTGCAGTCATCCGTTTCTTTGAAGAATGATATACTTGAGACATTGGTACCTGGAATGGCAAAGAATAAAGTGAGACAAGGACAATGAGTGGATTGTGCAATTTATCGTTGTAGTCGATAACAAAATCTCCTAGCATCGTTTGTTTACACCTAGAAAGTATTTTGGGGATAATTGTCAGAAACAAAGCATTGTAATGGATACTTGTGTCCTTATTAATTTCCAGCACAATGACACAATATGCTAATAATCAACATAGTAATTCTTTTCTCTTGTGTAACACAGTTATTACAGCCGTTCTGAGAATTATTCGGACAGTCAGTTAGCAAAATGACTTGCAACTTTGCAAAACACTTTGGTCTTTGCCCAATCTAGACTTGTAGGCGCCACTTGAGTGACGGGCGCGTGGTTTGGGATCACTATTTCATAGGGGTTGTCGGCTTGGTGAATTGTAAGTATTATCTAGCGTGCGTTTACAGCAACCATTCTTTATGTTTTATAATTATATTGTAATTATTTTCAGTAATTTTGAAAATCACAAGTTGGGTGTTGCTTAAATCTGTCGAAAAATGTCAACCACTCGCTCATTTTAGTCAGTTTTACCTGTTACAAAAATGGACTAAATATAATAACGGTCGTTACACCCCGTCATTTTCAAACTGCAGTTGAAAAAGTGATTCGATCAAAAGGCACTTTTGATTTGACAAAATCCATCAAACCGTTATAATCGAGTTTTCCGTTTGTGATCCCTGACGTACATTCCCACCTCGGTATAAAATCTGAATTTGATACATAATGCACCAGTAATGTAAAAGCAACTTATAGTTTGGCCCAAAACTGTTGCGAAACTGC